AATATACCAGTAAAAGTTTTATATTCAGTCAATATTCAAATACTTTCGTGAATTCCTGTATGCACACGTAACAATATAAAACGTTTACGAATTTCCAATTATGATTTATTACTTTCAACAAAATATCGCTAATATTATCCGTGAAGCTTAAAATCCTTTGATCGCTTCGGGCACTGTTACAATAGACTAGTCACTAATTACCCACGAACTACCATCAAAAGTTTCGTCGAAGAACAATAAAAAAAGAAGAAGAAGAAAAGAAAAAGAAAATGAAAAAGAAGAAGAAAAAAAAAAAGATCGCACGTCCAAAAGTTTCCAAACCTCTAACGGATAACGTATTATCCATAAATTCCGCTGAATTCCGGGATGTCGCGCGTTCCGGTGAAATTGTTCGGCCACTGACACCTGCTTCCTCCCCCCCCCCCCCCGTCCCGCATTATTATATTCCAGCTAATAAAAAAAAAAAATGTTTTCTAATTTCTCCACCGACCGGAAGATTTATGGGCTCCGATAACGTCTCCGCCGTCTCTCGCTTTCACTTTTCACGGCCATTAAAAACGAATCTCGCCCTCCGCGAGACCGGGGGAAAAAACCTTCCAATAAAAAGACCGGTGGGAGAAAGGGCAAACGACAAACAGAGATGAAGGAGAAGGGGTTCGCGGAAGAATGGCGAAGTTTCAACGGGGCACAAAGGTTTCGTCCGCCGTTTTTTTTTTTTTTTTTCTTTTCCTGATGCGTACCGTGAAATATTAACAGCTCTATTACACTCGCGAACGAACGCGAGAGCTGGCTGGTTGGCGAAGTTCGACGATTGCTAAGAACGTTTCAGCCTTTGACGTTAAAGAGAAATCGTTCTTGCGGGGCGAAACTCTCGAACACGACAGCTGTCGCTGCAGGCTGACGTCGTCTTCCGGTCGTAAATTCGGCGCTCACTGTACATTCAGCCACGGTGGGACGCGTTTGGAAACGCGTCACGTTAAGCGACAGATGACAATGTCGCGTGTGACGTCAGATAAAACGTATCTTAATCGGCCGCGAAGTCTCGAATTAGGAAGACGTCGCCTCCGAGATTTTTAACGATACGACGTTTTCGACGAGCAATGCACGCGTCGCTGCGTGGCATTCAACTTGTTTGCAATTGCCGTGAGAAATACGAAGGTTGTAAAGAGTATTTGCACGTCGCTGGACATATTGTGTCATTTATTGAACTCGATGAATATACTTATAACATTTTCGTATGGCTGTAAAAATTTTCATCACGTACATTTACGATGTTCAATTGAATAGTGTGCGAATAAAATGTAGATGAAGTCTTCGTTGAGGCAATGAGAATACGAGCGAATGTTTGTTGACAATCACAGTGGTTTTATATCGCGATTGCAAGTGTCGTTTTTGTAAATTTCGTAAAGTAACACGACTTTTATGAAAAGTCATGGAAACTTAGGCTTCACTTCGTAGTTTCTCTACTATTTATTAAAAATAAAGTTTCTCTACTGTTTTCTTTAAAAATAACATCGGGTTTGTAAATAAATTGTTTTAAGTCTATTACTTAACCACTTTGCGCTGGCAAATGATTGCGGACCATAACGAGTGACCAAACCGTATTCAATAATTCGTCGCTTTCTTTTTGAACTCGTTGGTATGATATTATGGAGAAGTAATAAATTTATTATTTGTTTTACTTGTGAGTTACACTTACTTAAATATACTTATTTTATATTATACTTAAAAACTGAAAAAAATATTGCAATTTTTGGACAAAATATTCTCGACGTGAGTGGCATGTTATTCCAGCGCAAGAAGTTAAAGATATTAACATTCTTAAATATTTACTTTTTAAAGTAAACTTTAATATTCCCTTCTTCAAGTGAACGAAACTATTTCGAAGAATTGTTAAACGATTGATATAATATAAATATCAATATTAAATTATCTTTAAATAATTACAAACAACTTACAAACACTATTGACACAACTTCTTTCTTAAAGATTTCATTATTTCCAACATTGATAAAACATATGTACACATTGACACAATTTCTTTCTCAAAGATTTCCAACATTGATNTAGCAGCCTGCAAAATATGTAAATATACAGTTCAATTTCTTCCGCCAGTTTCAGTGAAGTTATTGGAAACGCGGATTCTAAGAATCGTGTGACCTGATGTATACAAACGTGTGACTGCGTGCTTAGTTCATGGACATTACGTACGCTGTTGAGCAGTATCGCTGTGGAACTCGGAAAGTTCAGACGTATATTTCAAAATCTGTGTGAATTTAATAAAGATTAAAAATCTTTAGAAACAATGTCGAGTGATGGTGAGAGTAAAGTTGTGGTAGTGGGAAGTAGTGCAGAAGATATCGTGCAAAGGGAGAAGATAAAGAGAAGCTCTGTTTGGGAACATTTTCAAGAAAAAGATGATACAGAGGCGGAACGCACACATTGTCACCATGAATTTTAAATTGTAAGTATGCAAATACTACTGGTTTATTACGCCATTTGAAGCGTATGCATCCAAACATAAATACATGTACTAGAAAAGAAACTGACTCGATATAAAATTTGTCGCATGTACAAAATGATACGCGAAAGATTGTTAAACCAAATGATATAAGATATATAAGAAGGAATTGCTCGAATGATGGTTCTAGATCTGCGACCTTTTCGATATAATCGAAGGCGTTGGGCTTTAACGAATAATTTGTTCCCAATTCTTTCCCAAATCTTACGGGAATCCCGATTCTTTCGAGAATCCCGATAAATTCGAAAATTTCGAAATTTTCCGGTACCTGTCCCGATATTTCGGGTTCTCGCACACCTTTGATATAGTACAAATCAACGGCGAAACAAAGATATATCCTTGTTAATTAAAGCAAACCAGCTAAAATCGAAGAAAGTTTAGTAACTCTACGAATTTGTAATTACAGATCGCTGAGGAGGCAACAACAATATTCATTCATCTGGCGCACTCTTTGCAAGGGGCGGAACTCTCGACGCGAAAAGTTCTCCGGAAGATAATTAACCAAACTGTTAGCGTTCCCGGTTAAAACACGGGAACGCAGTGGCGTGGAGCATTGCACACAACGACAGGAGGGAGATTTATTCAATTGCTTTTCTGTCTACGACCACCGAGCCTCGTTTTAAATTCGCGTCTTACCCCAAAGCTAATACTGTCGTGATTCATTTGTTAATCAACGTTTCCACTAAACGTTGCTCAGGAGGAAACAATTAAGAGTTGAAACGAAGGCGGAAACCAAGAAAAAAAAAAAAAAAAAAAGGAAAGAATGGCACGAGACGCGCAACAAGATAAAATTGCGTCGAGCATAAAACAAGAGGCCGAGAGCGTTGAAGATTTACGTGTTCTTCTTTTTTTCTTCTCCTCCGCGATTTTCGTCGAAATAAAAAGGCGAAGCTTTTACACTGGCACGCGGGAGAATTACAAAATATAACGAAATTATCAGACAATGGCGGAAAAGGAGGGAAAGGTGAGTACGCTCGCTTCTCTGTTCGACTGGCTGCAATGCTACGAATGGTTATTTGCATTTTCCCTTTTATCAGAATTTTTCTAACAGCTGGCCATTTCCAGCGCAGCGCCACCGGATACGGATGTTGTTGATTCTACAAAGTTTTAGAAAACTTCCGCGCGAAGTGGTAGCGAACGAACGAGGAAGCGAATGAAGTGGCAAGAGGGGAAAAGTCGCAGCATCGCGAGAAAATCGCGGAACAGGTGTATAAGTAGAAATTACAAGGGTGTGCCAAGAGTGTAGGAACAACGAAACGAGAGAGACCCGTTTTATAATCTTCGTGTATAAGCAAAGTATATAAAATATACTTTGATTATCGGACTGTGAGTGTTTGTGCCTTTTAATATATGCAAAATACATATTCAAATACGTGTGAAACACATGCAAATGTTTCGCCTATTGTTCGTGCACATTTGCCTATTATTCGTGAATATTTGTCTATTGGTGGTTGCGTATTTGCATATTTTTCGTGGGTTTGCATGCTTGTAAATGCAAAAGGCATACGCAAGCATATATATAAATGCAAAAGGCATACGAAAAATATATATAAATATACAAATATGTAAAAGATATGTATATACAAGATATGTGCACGAGAAGTATGTGAATATCCATGTATGCACATGTGCACGAACAATAGATAAATATGCATGGAAGATGATACAAATATGAAGATGTGCGAGAAAAATGTGCAAATATGCATGAACAATGAATAGGCAAATATATACGAAAAGTATATCGTAATGAATATTGAATTTAGGGCAACTTATGTTTGCTGCGATATATTCTGATCAGTTGTAATTGAAATATCATTTTCACCTATTATTTGATATCAACACCGCTGGAAATTGTATTATATACAATGTTATATTGTATATGTATTATATTAAATTCTATTATTGTATTATATATTATATATTATACAATATTATATTGTATATGTATTATATTAGATTGTATTATTGTATTATATATTATATAGTATACAATATTATATTATGTATTATATTAAATTGTATTATTGTATTATATATTATACAATATTATATTGTATATGTATTATATTAGATATTATTATTGTATTATATATTATATATTATACAATATTATATTGTATATATATATATATTATATTAGAAAACTCTTATCTTATTATATATCTTATATATCTTATCTCGTATATATCCTGTATTAGAATTTCTAATATATATTATATTATATTAGAAATTGTATTATATTGCGATGTATTGCTAGTGTTACGTAACTGTTTGACAACTTCATTCATCTACGATTGCGTGAGATATAGTGAAATAAACATAAAAACAACACGTAACATTTTGCACAACATTTTGCATATTTAAACACCGGCGGTCTGTTAATTACAAACAGGCGTTTAGAAATTTCTTGTGGAGTAAAATTAAAACGTTTGGATAAATTAGAATATTTTCCAGAAGAATATTTTAGCGTCTATTTCTTTTTCTGTCTTTGAGCATAAAATTTTATTTTTTATTAGACAATAGTTTAGATTAACTGTAAATGTAAGTATGACGATCTTCTTTTCTTTTTTTTTTTTTTGCTCGTGCTGAAATTAGCTGAACAAATATCACATCGAAGTCCATAATTGAAAGAAGAAAAAAGAAATTAGAAGAATGATTCTCCTTTGAAATGAAGAATTTAAATTACTGAGGTAAATGCAAATGGACTGATGCATTGCACGAAATTAATTTTTGAGAGTGCAGGATCGAAATAACCGCCGGAGAAAATCACATTAATAGATAAAAAGTACCGATACGATTAATCGAAGTTTGTTATTCAAAAAATGACGAACAGGCGTTATCGAGAGCATTAAACGATACGATCTCTCTGGGCGAGTAAAAAATTTTTTTCGCAGGACCTCGCGATTTCTGTATGCATCGCGGACGAACGCGAATAAAACCGAGATCTACGAAATCAAGCCATATTTAAATACAGAGACGAACACGTAGGACAGTAAAAAATTTTTTTTCTACTTTTCCCTCCAGAAAATGAAATTGTCTGCAAGAAGAAGTTTGTTCCGTACAGTCAACTCGCGTTTGTACTGGAAATCACTTCATTCGTGCTGCTTTGTGAATTTTAAACAGCAACGAATATGCGAACCGTTTAACTTTCTAACATTTTTTCATTCGCGAATTAATAAAATAAATGCACCTGCTTTGGAAAAATATGTTTGGAGATGCGACGATCATAATTGTAATAAAGAATCATCGATATTCCAAACTGTTGTTGCAACCTCATGAAAAAAAAAAGAAAAACGAAAATCGTGCGAAAATGCAGTTTCATCTTATTTTGAAGAGTAAAGTTTCACTTTGACAGTCTTGAGTTCGCTTCTTTCGAAGATGCTTTCACATCATTTTATATAGATGAAAAAGGACAGTATTATTCTAAAAAAATTGTAAAGACAGTATTATCCTAAAAAAATTGTAAAGACAGTATTATCCTAAAAAAATTGTAAAACTTCAAACGCCTGTGGAAGCATTGAAAAATATTTTATGAGTTGATTTTTTCTCACAGTGGTTTTGAAGATTTTTCTCTTTTCACGACAACCTCTTCAAGCTTACTGCACGATTTTGTTTTTCCATCATTTTATTGAACATTGATTGTTAGGACTAGACGACGAGATGTTTGATAGACAATTTTTCATCGTTAATTGTAACAGTTATGTTCGCTGCATGTATTATTTTCTATTTTTTTAAAGAATGAATATTCGTGAAAGAAATTGTTTCGTTAACCAAATTACGCTTTACGATCCGGTTCATTTTTTCTATTTTGTATCGAACGATCGATACTCATTCGGCGCAGCCCATTTCACGTTGAATATTTATATCTCTCGAGACTTTGCATAGATTTTTCTCGTTTTTTTTTTAATAATTATACAACAGCCGCTGGAACATAAGAAACGAGTAAGAGTAAAAGAACTGCTATACGAATGGTTGCCTCGTGAGAGATAGAAAATAAAATGAAATTTCGTTTCATTTGACTTTTCATCCGTCTGTTTTATCACCGATGGTACCATGGAAGAGGTAAAAATATTTCTAGTGGTTTCTTCCAGATGAAAATGTTAAAAATAGATAGGTTCTTGAACACTTGAGAATCGTAGAGAATGACTTACTTTATGACTTTAAAAAGATCAGACATCCGGGAATAGTACTCGATCCAACTTTCATTAATATATTTACGAGAATGTTGAAGCAAACGAAGAAAAGAAAGAATAGAGAGAATGCAAATTATTTGTAAAACCATTCAAAGTATTTGATGTAATATTTAACGAAACAATTCCCTATCTATAGATGAAATATCTGTCTAAAAATTTTTCGTTTCGACCGAGAAATCTTGCAACAAAATGTCACACTTTGGACGAGATATCTCGCGTGTCAGTAGAAAAGTAATCAGCAGTGTTAGACGAAGAAAATATTATATGTTTGTAAGAAAAGAATTTTATTTTCGAAACAATTCAAAGCACGATGTTTCACCGAAATGTAAATAAAATAATTTTAAACGTATCACGAACAACATAAGCAGACCGCGTAATTTTACGTATTTTTCGTATTTTATGCATTCGTATTTCCAAGAGTACGATTAAAAATAATAGAACCTCGCTGAAAAAAAAAAATTGTTTCACGTGTGAAATAATATTATAAAAATTTGATACATTTTTCCATGTTATATGCGACTTCTGTTCTATGTCCAACTTTGCATCATCAAATTTCCCGTTTATATAACAAATGCATAAAAATCCGCAAGTCGGGTCGCAAAATATTTCGTTCCCGGATGCAAAGGATTCGACAGAAAATACGAATCCGCGCAAGGATCCTCGCTCCGGTTCCCAACATTTATTGTTTCGTCAGAAAAAAAAATATATTTTCATCCGTTCGCTCCCGCGAGTTTCACACGTCAAAAATCAGCAAGCCAACGTACCGCACGCTATCAGAAAAAGAGAGAAAGAGAAAGAGAGAGAGAGAGAGAGAGAGAGAGAGAGAAAAGAGAAAAATTGATACAACATCGAACTGAAGTGAAGAGAGAAACTTTCGTCCAAAGAGACATCGGTTCCACTCGCTCGCCGACAGGGAGCACGTTCGTCGACAGAATATGGAGGACCGGAAGCGAGGCTGCTCGATACGCGGGACACGTGTGTACGGAAGTCCTCGTTCCGCGGTGAAAGTAAAGGGAAAATGCCGATGCGATCCACGAAATAAGAAGCAACGAGCAACTCGACCGGGGACGCGGAATAACGAAATAAAGGATTTGGCGGTACGTGGCAGCAGGGGATCAGGATATAGCTCGTTTCGGCTAACACTTTTACGTACAATCTTCTCGATTCACCTCGATACCCTACTGACGTGTTTGGCATCTTCTCGCCGGTGGTCTTTCGACTCGTCTGGCCACAACCATTTCCGTTTCTCCGCCGACGGGGAAAGATTATTTTCCTCGGTTACTTTCCTCGATGCCGGGAGACAGAAGAAGAACTTCACCGGTGGATAGCTTTTCCACATTTTCCATCCGGCGATCCCATAAATATTTCATGAGAGTCGAAACGGCAAATGGAGTGTGTGCGAGGGGGGGAAGATAGAAAAAGATTTTCGGAAAAAGGGAGAGCATGTAAATTTCATGGGGAGAGCGCGCCGGGAAATTTATTAATAGGGAGGTAATTGAGAGGAGCTGTTCGAGGAGGAGGATTCGTGAGTGCTTGGACTGAGGCAATTAGGTCGGAAGTTTTAGTTATAATCATATTTTCAACTGCTGATCACGCTTATTTCGCGTTTTTTTAAACTGAATAATGATGAAAATCACTATTTGACTTCGTCAACGAACGAAGGAAAATAGATATTAATTCACTTCGGTTTCGAATTTTGTTTAACCAGTTGCCCCTTCGCGGACCATAACGAGCGACCGAACCGTATACGATAATTCGTCGCTTTCTTTCTCTTTTGAACTCGTCGGTATGACGTCACTAATAATTTCTATTAAGATAGAAATTATTAAGAGGTAATAAACTTATCATTTGCTTTGTCTATCATTTGCTTAAATATATTTATTAATATATTTAATAAATAATAAGTATATTTAAATATATTTATATTGTATAAATATTATATATTTATTATTTATATACTTATATAATATATTTATTATTTAAGTATATATTTATTACTTATATTTATTTTTTATATAATATTATTATATTTATTATTTAAGTATATTTAAATATACTTAAAACTGAGAAAATATTGCAATTTTTGGACAAAAAGTTACATATTGCAATTTTATATAATATATTTATTATTTAAGTATATTTAAATATACTTAAAACTGAGGAAACGTTGCAACTTTCGGACAAAAAGTTAAATATTTTAACTGAGAAGAGCGGCAACGATTAAAAGTAAGCTGAGAAAAATGAAGATAAAGTTTTTACATTGGCATCAAATTTACGCGTAATGTATCCTTTCATATCAGAATTTAATGTAAATATTAATACACGCGTGAAAATATTTAATATAATTAAGTATACACG